TTGATGAAGTGAGGAAGCTCGAAGAACACTTTGACGGCCTGCAGATGGAACATGTTCCAAGAGCTCAGAACTATATTGCCGATGGCCTGTCAAAGTGCGCCGCGCTGAAGTTACCTGTGGAACCAGGGATCTTCGTGCTCAAGCTGACTCAACCGTTTGTAACACCATCAACTGGACAAATCAAGAAGAGGAAGTTGATTTCTGGTGACTACTTTCCGGCAGAGCTCCCCGAAGCCGCCGCCAAGAAGGTCCCCAAGATCAACACCAAGGGTGCTGAGGAGCAGTCTGCTCCGGCAGGCCCTAGGGTTTGTTCCGTTGAAGCAGACGCTCCCGACAAGTTTTGCTCCGGCAAGCTTGCTGGGGAACATCAAGCTCCGGCTAAGCCGCAAGTTCTTGCCGTGGAAGTGGATGTTCCCGCAGCAGCAGATGTGCCTTTAGTCCTTGTTGTCGAGCCGCAAGCTCCAACATGGTGCAATCGACAAGTTCACAAAGTGGCCGGAAGTGGAACCAGTGAGGAAGGTGACAGCACAGTCAGCAGTCAAGTTCTTCAGGTCGATTGTTTGCCATTTCGGGATCCCTAACAGGATCATCACCGACAACGGCACGCAATTCACAAGCCGCACCTTCATGCAGTACGTCCAAGACCTTGGCGCCAAGGTCTGCTTTGCTTCTGTTGCTCATCCGAGAAGCAACGGTCAAGCAGAGAGGGCAAATGCTGAAGTGCTGCGCGGGCTCAAGACCAGAACTTTCGACAGGTTGTGCAAGTGCGGAAGGAACTAGATCGAGGAGCTGCCGGTGGTTCTTTGGTCGATCAGGACGACGCAAAATCGAGCCACTGGCCAGACACCTTTCGCTCTAGTCTATGGAGCAGAGGCAGTTCTCCCCACGGAACTCGTATACGGATCACCTCGAGTGCTCGCTTATGATGAGCTTGAGCAAGAGCAGTTGCGACAAGATGACGCGCTGCTCCTTGAGGAGGACCATCTTCAGGCTGCTGTACGAGCTGCTCGATACCAGCAAACTTTGCGCCGCTACCATAGCCGCAAAGTTAATGCCAGAAGCTTCGAGGAAGGCGACCTTGTTCTTCGGCGTGTTCAGTCCGCCAAGAATTCCAACAAGTTGACGCCAAAGTGGGAAGGCCCTTACCGGCTGAAACGAGTCACTAGGCCTGGCGCAGTCCGCCTTGAGACCGAAGATGGCACTCCGATGAGCAACTCCTGGAACATTGAGAAGCTTCGTAAGTTTTACCCGTAGGACGCGGTTGCCAGAACCCGTTTCGGCAACCACCTATTGTACAAGTCTTGCCGATGTTGCATGTAATCCTTTGTACAAAGCCGGGCGCAGATCCCGTGCATAAGTAAAGCTCATGTGCTCCGCACATCTTGTCAATTTCATGCTTTCTACCTTATATTTGCATGCATTATCTGACACTTTGTGCAGCGCAACCCCCGGTAAGCAATAAACGAGCCGGAAGGCACCATATCTTTATTTTCTCTTCTTTCTTTTTCTAATAAAGGAAAGCAAGATTCCCTCGCACACAAGTTTGCCGGGGGGAAAGGAGAAGATTATGATGTGGACCAGGCATCGTTCAAGCAAGTTTCGCCTTGCCGGAAAGCAAACGACAGAAAAGATAAGTTGCCAAAGTTTGAGCAATCAGTTTTTAAATTTTTAAGTTATATTCCTTGAACGACCGTACTTTTTATGGAAAACCTGTGCGCGGAGGAACCAACTCGTAGCTAGTTGCGCCCTTACTTTGTTTCGAGTCTGCTCAACAACTTAAGTGAGCTGCGACTAGTTGCGACAAGGTTTCTTGTCGGTAGTGGCACCGCCGGCAGGCTGCTGACGTCCCGCACTCAGCGCTCGCGGCTAAGGTGCCTGCACCGGCAAGTTCCCTAAAAGCGTAGGGCAAAAACATACAAAGGAAGGAATCAAGTAAAGGGAATAACATAGCAATCTCTACCCAAAATAGAGTTATATTACAAGATAGCTTGTCGCAGCTCTAATAGATTGTTCTCGTGACATGACCAGCAGCGACAAAGAGAAAAAGAAAACGGGCGGCCTAATCTACGCGATCACCCTCAACCCTCTTGATCTCGCTCACCTTGTCCATAATGGGTGCGACAAGGGCCTTGAGCGCATCCAGATCAGCATCCGGCGGCAAGGATTTGAGGACATTGGTGAGGTTGAGGCCTGGATTGCGGAAGGCCACCTTCACCAGCACCTTCTGAAGAACCCCCGCGCAGATCCTGCGCGACTCGTCGGCCAGCTACTTTGGGATCTTCTCCCGGAGTCGCTGGAGGGCCGTCGCCACGCCTTTGAAGAACAAGCTGAGCTTGGCGCTGGGTTGGAGATGCTCGTCGGAGGAGTACCCGAGATCCTCCACCCCCAGCTGCGCCAACTCCCCGTCGATGGCGGCGGCAATATTCACCAGACCCTCAGTCCAGTGCTCCACAGTCTCCCTGAAGGAGTCGTGGGCGGCAGCAGCATTCGCTAGCAGCGCCTCGTCGGCCTTGATCTTCTCCGACAAGGCCACCTCCCGCTCCCTGGCGCCGTCCAGCATCTGAGTCAAAGTAGCCAACTTCAACTCAAGATCCGCATTGGAGTCCTTGGCGGCGCTAAGCTCCTTGCTCCTCTCTGCGAGGAGGCCTTGCAGCTCACCATGAGCGGCAGCATCCTTCTCGTGCTCACGCTTGAGAGCGGCAAGCTCCTCGCCGCTCGCCCGGAGATCGGCTTCCAGCTGCGCCACCTTTATCTCCAGCTCCTTCTTGGCAGCCTCGGCAGCTGCGGCAGCATCCTTTGCCTCCTTGAGAGCCCCGCCAATCGCTTGCTCACGCGCGGCAAGCTCCTCCTCGTGGCTGTCAAGATTGACCTTGCGCTGCGCCAACTCTCCTTCCTGCGCGAATAAGTTTTCGGCGACAAGCCGTTCCTTCTCTTCAGCTTCAGCCTTCTCGAGGAGGAAGGCTTTCCGCTCCTCAAGAAGTTGCTCCCGCTCCTCCGCCAAGGACCGGAGAGCTTCCTGCCTGAGGCCTCGGAGCTCCTCCGCGCGCTTCTCAATATCAACTCCCGCCTTCGCGACAAGCGCTTCTCGGGAGGCCAGCTTGGCTTGTCGGGCACGGTAGAGCGACGTCAGCTTCCGCAGCAGCCGCTCCTCTTCAGGCTCGTCGCTGCTGCTGCTTGGCGTGTCAACCAGCGTCAGCCCGGCGGAGGCAAGCACCTCTCCGTCCAGGATTTCTCCCTCGACCGGCGCCCTGGAGCTTGACGCCCAGGGAAGCTTGATGAAGATACCATCGCCGGCCTTTAGGTAGGCGCCGGGCTGTGGCTCTTCGGAGCCTGGCTCTGCAGCAGCGGCGGGGGGATTGGCGGTTGGTGTAGCGCCAGGCGCTCCTGCGGCCATAGGACCGTCAGTGCGATCGCCGGGTCCCTCGCCGGCTTCTGCGGCGGCAGCTTCGGCGGCCTCTTCGCCGGCAGGCTCATCAGCACCGGCTTCTCCTTCGGTGGCGACGGCGTCGTCGGCACCGCCACGCGCGCCCTCCTCGCCGGCGTCCTCGGCCTCCATCGGCTCCGTGGCAGGGGGATCTGACGAACGGAAAGGGGAGAGAAGTCAAGCAAAGATACAAGAAGAAAATCAGAAGAAGAAGATCCCAAGGGAAGTTTTCAGGCAAGAAAATTACCTGTGCTAGGATCTGCGGTCACGGTCTCAACCACCGGAGGATCACTGGTGCCGTCTCTTGCCGGAGAACTGTCCCTTGCCGGAGAGTTCTCCCTTGCCGAAGAGCGCTCCCTTGCCGGGGACTCCTCCCTTGGGGGCATAGTCGAAGCAGATGGCACTTCGGGAGCAGCTTCCGGGCATTCCTGGTGAGGCTGTTCTTCTCCTACACAAATCCAACATTCAAGATATCAGTAGAGAAAAGAGCACCCATGCGTGCCTGACGGCAGGAAGTAAACTATAAACTTATGCTGGGGGCTGCGCTAGGGGCTGCTTTGGGGAGTAGTTGCCGGGTCCGTCAAGGTGGTCTCAGACACACCCCCTGCTGACACGGTGGGATCATCTTCGATGACAATCACCGGGGCCTTGGCTCTCTTCGCCGCTCTCTGGGCCAGCGTCCTGAAAAGGAATGGATTCAGATCGAAGCAAGTCAGATACAAGACGAAAGCAACAAGATTGAAGAACAACAAGAACAGCAAAGGATCTCACTCTTCTTCTTCCTCGTCGGAGCTGAGCGCGGAGAGATTGAAGTCCGGCTCGCCTCCGGTGCGACGAGGCGGAGGAGTAGGCTCCCTCGCCCGCTTGGCAGGAGCAGTGGCGGTGGACCGGGAAGACCCCGCTCCAGTTGCCGCAGCGGCGTGAGGCGCTCCCGCGGCAACGGTGCTTGCCGCGGTAGAGCGTGTCGCGCGGCTCGGCGGCTGTTGACCCATCTACTGCCCCGCTACGTCCGCGGCCTTGCGGAGACGCCTTCTTGGCGGGGCCGGGGGCTCCGCCTGCGGTAAGCTGTCTGAAGGCTCGGGCCCGACAAGCTCTTCCTCGCCGGGCCCGCTCGGCTCAACTTCAGGCCCGGCGAGCTCTTCCTCGCCAGCGAACTCCTCTCGCTCGGCAAGGCTTGCCGCCTCTGCTGCCTCTGCCTCCTCCACGGTGAACCCAAACTCGCCCACGGCAACTACTGCCGCCACCTCTTCCAGCCTGGTGGTGATGCGCTGCATCTCGTCATCAGTGGTGTCGCGGGTGAGGCTCTTCTGCTCATCAGCGCGGACCGGCACTTCTACCAAGTCGTCGAAGAACGCCCGCACAACGTCATCCGCAGGTTCTTGCCAAGTTGGGGCAATTCCGTGCGAATCGCACAACGGCATCATTATGCGGATCCGGTCGAGCGAAGAATTGTTGCACAACGGAACAACATTCCTCAGCAACGTGAATGGATGTTGAGGATCGCGTTTGAACAGCTCCAGGAGCATCGCATCCAGCTCCAGGACGGTGAAGTTGAAGTTGAGGCCCGGGCGCAGCCTCATGATATCCACCGAGTTCTTAAACTCCCAGGCGGGTCTCCCCCTCTCCTGCAGGGGGCGATGCGGCAGCGAAGAAAATCTGCGCCGACAGCGCCTACGGTGAGCCCGGCAAGCCTGAGGCGAAGGATCCGGGTGATGGCAATTTTCAGCCTGCCGTCTTCCGGGGCCACGTTGCTCCAATCGTTGCCGCGCGCTATTGGGGCTTGTCGCAGGGTAGTGAATGGCTGCGGGTTCTCCTCGATGATCCAGCACCACTCTGCTCTCCACTCCTCCCACTTGCTGCGGAGCTCACCCTCCAGATATGCTTCCTTCTTGTCGACTCTCGATATCCAAGCGATCCCGCCGGCAAGAGGCTCTCCTCTCTCAACCCGAGGCATGAAGAAGTGGCGGAAAAGGGCTACGTTTGGGTGGACTCCGACAAAGTTTTCGCACAGATGTGCGAAAACTGCCATGGTCAGAACGGCGTTGGGGGTGAAGTCAAGGAGGCGGAACCCGTAGGTGTTCATAATGTCGCAAAAGAATTCAGAGAAAGGCGGGCAGAGCCCGCGGTAGAAGAACAGCGCGAAAAAGGGATACCCGTTCGGAGCCAGTCTCGAAGCGGTGGCCGGGAGTACCCTCGTGCGCGGATGCGCTCGCGTCTCCGTCGACCAGAAGAGGTAGTAGTACTCCCTCAGCTCCTTCGCACCGAGCTGAGGGGAGAAGAGGGCCCGCTCCTTCCGCAGCGCCACGAGCCGATGCGCCTCGCCCGACTTCACGCCCTTCCCCTTGTCGGCTTTTGGAGCCATGGCGGAGGTGGTGGGGGAGATCGGCGGTGTTAGTGATGATGGTGGCAATGGGGGGCGGAGCGCTGCTCTCTTTCAGCATCGGGAAGAAGGGGGGAGCGGCGGAGATTTTCTAGAATGGAGTAGCAACCGGCAAAGTGGGCGAACTGCCCCTGTTTCCCCTGCTTATAAAGAGGGAGGGGGCGGACGTTTCGCCCTTCCGAATAAAGAAACCACCCACGATCTCTCCCACGATGCCGCATTCAACGCGTGCCGTTCGGGGAGGGCGCGGTGGATACAGAGCAGGATACGGCGTGACCCAGGCCGCGGATGCCCGTGCCCTGCTTTGGGCCTAGCCCAACAGCGCTCGGCAACGTGTGTGGCCCAGGCCCGGGGGCTCCTATCGGTGTACTAGAGTAGGGGTACCCTAGTATCCCTAACTTGTGCACGGGCAGTTGCAGCACCCCGCGGCAAGGCTTGCCGGGTGACCGCCAAGGTCCTCCATGGTTCCTTTGGAGCCATTCAAGAACAAAGTATTTGAGCTCAGGAGACAAGGCCCCGGCAAGAGGAGCTTGCCGGGAAGGCCAATCAAGGCATTTCAAGGAACTTTCCGCGACGCGCCGCGCGTCCCGGCAAGGCCTGGTGAGCGACAAGCTTCCGGACGCGACAAGGCAACGGCCGCGGCAGGCTACCACTCTGTACCCACGCTCCAGCACATCCACCAACGTGTCGCTCTGGGGGCCTTTCCAGGCGCGCGTGGCGGGAGGCTGTGCAGCCAGCGGTGCGCGGTGGCATGCGAAGCTGACAAGACTGCCATCGTGGCGAGCGGTGGCGCCCCTGACGGTCCCTTTTTACACTGTTTGGGCGACGCAGACGGGCATTTAATGCCTTTGTCCCCTGCCGTCAGGGTTAGGTAGGATGCACTGTGCAGGTGGTTGTACCAATTGCAACCCCTTTTTCCATTTTTACCCTTCTCTGCGTTGCCACCTGTCGGTGACCCCTTTGAACATATAAATGGAGGCCCATGCACAACGTAGAAGGGGTTCGCTTCGGTTGGGAACCAGAGAACACTCACGCTCGGTCTCGTGTGTACTGTAGCACTCAGCACACCCGAGCAAGAACACAATACAATCAGACAAGCAGCAGTAGGAGTGTTATCTCTTCGGAGAGATCCGAAGCTGGGTAAACTGCTCGTGTGCTTCGCCTCGATCCGCTCTTCGTGCGACCTCCGCCCCCCCGCCGAACCGAAAGGGGCCCGGTCCACCGGCCCCATAGGTGATTCGTGGACCAGTTTCCCCGACATGGGGATGCAAGGGAAGCAATATATATCTCACCCAAAACTAACAATTCCTACATCCAAGCTATATCCATCCGTCAACACATAACCAAGAAACCTTCGGAAATCGTGTACCTCAACCTTCGAAAAGCATCCGTTATACGAGTTATGGCAATACTCCCAAACTCCCCAGTACTGGGTGACGTCGAGGTTATCTCACCAACAACTGCATAAAAGAGGTTTTCGATGTCGGCAAAACTCAGGTATTCCAGAACTGCAACGATAAAATTGTGACGACAATACCTCGGAGCTCAACTCCCCGGGTCAATGCCACATAATAGACAGGAGGCACTAAGAACAATGTTCTCGTCACAAAACCATCGGAACGATTCCAAGATACCCGCGTGATCCTAAAATTTTTTTTAGTGAAATTTGAGGAGAGAAAAGTCAAAACATCTACGTCAGGAGACCTCACCAGAGCGACGAAGGGACTGAGGAGTAAAAAGAATCCTACTCTCCGATATATATAATCCTAAGACTCAAAACATTTTTGATCTAGACTCAACAACGCCAGCAAACAATCAAGCAGGGGGCTCCTAAGTCGGGGCTGGCTCTGATTACCAACTTGTAACACCCACGATGCCGCTATATCTCCCACGTGTCGAAGCACGACTTAGAGGCGTAACCGCATTATGGTTTTGTCGCAAGAAGGGTCATCTTCACACAATCTCATGTAATAAACAAGAATGGGATAAAGAGTTGGCTTACAATCGCCACTTCACAAAATGAACATATAATAAATCATACATCATTCAGAGTACACACATAGTCCGACTACGGACGAAGCCAAAAGAAAAGAAGATAACCCAACTGCTAGATCCCCGATCGTCCCAACTGGGCTCCACTACTGATCAACATGAAATGAAACATAGCAACAACTAAGATCTTCGTTGAGCTCCCATCTGAGCTCGGTTGCATCATCTGCACTGGTATCATCGGCACCTGCAACTGTTGTGATAGTATCTGGTGAGTCACGAGGACTCAGCAATCTCAAAACCCGCGAGATCAAGACTATTTAAGCTTAAGGGTAGGAAGTGGTAATGAGGTGGAGTTGCAGCAAGCACTAAGCAAATATGGTGGCTAACATACGCAAATAAGAGCGAGAAGAGAGCAAACGGAACGGTCATGAACTAGCAATGATCAAGAAGTGATCCTGAACTCCTACTTACGTCAAACATAACCCAGAACCGTGTTCACTTCCCGGACTCTGCCGAAAAGAGACCATCACGGCTACACACTCGGTTGATGCGTTTTAATTAAGTCAAGCGTCAAGTTATCTACAACCGGACATTAACAAATTCCCATCTGCTTATAACCGCAGGCACGACTTTCGAAAGTTTATACCCTGCAGGGGTGTCCCAACTGAGCCCATGATAAGCTCTCGCGATCAACGAAGGATATACCTTCTCCCAGGAAGACCCGATCAGACTCGGAATCCCGGTTTACAAGACATTTCGACAATGGTAAAACAAGACCAGCAAAGCCTCCCGTTGTGCCGACAAATCCCGATAGGAGCTGCACATATCTCGTTCTCAAGGCACACCGGATTGTCCAAACTTCCGGTAGGCCAGCCCAGAGTTTCCCCTGGTGGCCACCGACGGTTGACAGGTTGGACCAACACTCACGACGAGCACTGGCCCGGGGGGCGGGCAAAATAAAGATGACCCTTGAGTCTGCAGAACCCAAGGGAAAAAGGCTTAGGCAGGCAAATGGTAAAACCAAGGTTGGGCCTTGCTGGAGGAGTTTTATTCAAAGCGAACTGTCAAGGGGGTCCCATAAATCACCAAACCGCGAAAGGAACGCAAAATCCGGGAACATAACACCGGTATGACAGAAACTAGGGCGGCAAGAGTGGAACAAAACACCAGGCATAAGGCCGAGTCTTCCACCCTTTACCAAATATATAGATGCATTAATAATATAAGAGATATTGTGATATCCCAAAATAATCCTGTCCATCATGGAGCAATCTTCAACTTCACCTGCAACTAACAATGCTATAAGAGGGGCTGAGCAAAGCGGTAACATGGCCAAGCAACGGTTTGTTAGGAAGGGTGAAAAGGTTAGAGGCTGACATGGCAATATGGGAGGCATGGTAAACAAGTGATAGGTAGCGCAGCATAGCGATAGAATGAAGCAACTAGCAAGCAAAGATAGAAGTGATATCAAGGGTAATGGTCATCTTGCCTGAGATTCCGCTAGGAAGCAGAACGAGTCCATGAAGAAGACAAACAGACGTAGTCAAACGAATCCTCACAACTCCGGAACGAAACCGAAGCTAACGAGAGAAGCAAACCGGAAAGAAGCAAACAACATAGTAAACACACAAGCATAAACATGGCATGATGCACAGACAAGTATGATGCATGTCCGGTTTAATGAGGCATGGCATGGCGAAGTGCACAAACAATACTACAAGTTAAGTGGAGCTCAATATGCAACGAGTTGCATATTGATGGAACACCACATCAATTATTTAGTTCACTCTCGTTTAGGCTAACCAACAATATTAAATGTTGTCAAACATGGCAAGAGGTGAAACATAATTAAACTACCTATCTAGGCAAGTTTAAATGAGGTCGGAAATAACAAACAACAATTCCGAAAATCCCCATATGACATTTAGCAATTTAATGCAAACACAATTTAAGCATTTAAATGTTGTTATCATGATGCGGATGACATATGCAAGTTTATGCAATTTTTATGAAAATGTTAACATGAGCATGTTATGAAGCATTTGGTCACCATGGCGGAAGGAGAAAGGTGCCACGGCGGTGAAACGGAAATGGTGCCACGGCAACATTCCGGTCCTGATAACTCATGGAGGTACCGGTGCAAAAGGAAGTGTGACGTGAGCGTATCATGCAAGGATGGTGGGGTGCTCCCGGATTCCGGGTTCCCACGGGACGGTGGCATGGAAAACGAGGAAGGAACGTGTAAGGAACTCTCTCGGACATGGTGCAAACACGAGCATCTCATACAACACACAAACATTCGTTCACGGGCGGTCGTCTCGGGGTTATACCTTCAAAGCGTGCATTTTGAGGCGGTTCAAAAACGTCGAGGGAAGTAGTCGTTCATGGGTCGTAGGGGAAGTTGTCGTTCACGGCGGCGGCGGTAGTGGTACATGTTTTCGTTGATGTCCGGGGTCGTCGGGTCGTCATGTAGCCGTACATGTTCGTCGTGGTACACGGGTCTTCGGGCGACGGTAGATGTACACGGCAACCGTAGTCAAACTTGAAGGGTCGTCAACGTCGTTAGACTTGGCGCATCACCGGGTGTAGTCGTACACGAGGTCCTGCCCGGGGATGGTCTTGGCCTTGGTAGTGATTCGAGACGGAGCCTTGCGGAGACAACCCAACGAAGCATGCTACGGTTGAAGGGCATGGGTCTTCTTCCCGCAAGGAACAAAAAAATGGAGGCGGCTGCGGCTGATGCGGACGCAGGATGCAGGGGCACGGTTAACGCAAGGCGAGGCGCTCGTTGACGAGAGGAAGCAGGCGGCAGAGGCGCAACAGCAGGTCGACGCCGCGGGGGCGAGGCGGCGCTGCACTTGGTGCGATCTCCGGTGAAGGCGGCGCCGCTTGAGGTGGGGTCGGGCTGCGGGTGAGGCAGTGGCGCCATGGACGAAGGGAGCATGAGCTCGGGGAGGAGGCCGAGCGGTATGGAACAGGAGAGGAAGGGA